TTGCTTATCATTGGACCCAAAGAGAGTTTCTTATCTGGCATCAGCTGTGATGGTCTCTCAACATCACTCTGACAGTCTGACTCTCGTACCCTGCTTCAGCCCGCCCACCAGACAGGGAGCGATAGCGCGGTACCCTTAGCTCCAAGGTCCTTACCTGACTATCATTGGGGACCGCGTAGTGCGTCCGGGCAGGTCCCGGTGGCCAATGCTAGGCGATGACGCCGCTGGAATTTACCCCGAAGTTATTCCTCCCCAGGGAACCGCTAGCCACACTAACCTTATGTTGGTTCCCCCTTCCGATCAGACCACCCACATCCCTCACCCGAATTCTGCAGATTGCTGCTCCCTTCGACATGGGTTCTACTCCGCAGGAAACCTACAATTGACGATTCGGTCGTTACATCCGGGGCAGAGAGGGGGTCGGAGGGGCGACACTGCGCAGGGTGAAAAAATAACGGCCGCCGTTAGGTTTTTGCGTGATGACACGTCGCCTGTAAGCGGCGGAATGGGAAGGTAGGGCGAGGAGCGTGGCGCCTCTTGTCCCAGCTAGGCCTTGCCGGTTTACCCTGGGCAGGAGACGAGTACGGGGTACAACTGCCAGAAGTGACTTAGGCACGTCCGTACCTGACTACGACTCTACCCCGTGTCTATTATTATAAACAGGTCAGGTATCTACGGGGTACCGCCATCCGCCAGTCCAAGCTTCACGATAGTTCTGTATAGCTCAGGATAGCTCCTGAGGCCGGTAAAATATTAAGGAGGATTGACCATCGCCAAGTGGTGCTCCTTCGGTCCTTCCAGGTGCTAGTCTACCTTAGTGAGGTACTAGTGTGGTGTGAAAAGCTTGGAGGACTCGACTGCAGACAAATCAATCACCCTGAGATAAGACTGCTGTCGGTATCTAGCAGTTTCTAGCGAGATCAAGCCATTTCCTGAGTAGTGGTGCAATCCGAATCCCTCACGATAACATCCTAGCAGCATGGCATGGCAATCCTACCTAGTACCTACAAGAGTATCCAGTATACGGAGTACACAAGTCCAAAGCTCATTAAATTAAAATTAATTAAATCCTCGGTGCCCCTCTTTTTTTCACACCTAATTTCTCCCCCTTCCCCTCTCCTCTCATCATCACTTCGAGATCGTCGTCATAGCTCGAGGGGCTAGAACTACCTATTGCCGCTGCTTGCTGCTTGCTGTACCAATAATGTCGATGATGCAACGACCGACCCCTTTCACATGCTCTCTGCAGCTACTTCTTATTTGTTCAAAAAAATGTCTGCACGGCATATATGCGTAGGGCGGTATGTATGGACGGTACATAATTAAGTAGGTAGTACGCTGCGCCTTTCCCGTCCTACTTATACCTACTGGAGGTATTGTTGTGGGAGGGTGGTGGTGGTGTTTCCCAGACCGCTAAGAAGGCGAGGTAACAATCACCACTAGATAGTAGATATCAAGTAGCACCCACGGTACGGAGTAGCGGGGATAAATAACAAGGATATGAGTCCATATCTATCACAAGAGTACACAGTACACATAATTTACTATGTAGATACGATGAGGATAACAGCCACTAACCATCCACAACCTTCAAACAATACCCAAATAAATATATAAATAAAAAAAAAGAATCAAACCCTACCCCAATCCAGAAACCACCCCAATCAAATAAACGAAGAACAATTTTACTCCGTAAAGAAAAAAAAAAAAATAAATAAACGGAAGATGCCCGGGATTGCGTCATGGAAAATGATTTGCAGCTAATCCAGGAGTCGAGACATGGGCCTGCCTTAGTGGCGGCGCACTGCCGCGTTTCTAGATGACAATCTCCCGCAACAATCGTTTTAGGCAGTTGACTTGCCCAATTGGATTATCTCTGCCCTCTGGACTTAAACAAGGGTTGAGGGGGACCGGAGATCCGGTGTACCATTGGATTTACTCCGTTGATAGGTAGGTAGGTACATAGGAGTAGTAGGTGATTTGGTGGGTTGGTTGGGTTAGTAACTTAGTGGATTTGATAATATCGGGTGCTAATCTATAGATTTGCTTATTTCATGCCTCGTTGCTATCATTTGGATTATCATATTATGTTGTTGTTGTTGTATCGGATTAGCTCAGCTCAGCCCAGTCCAGCCCAGCCCAGCTCATCTCGCCACGTCAGATACGGAGTACATCCTTCGCTTTGTCGGGGCGTTATAGTTTCTGTTCAATTTTTTCCTTCCCGTTGGTACATACGGGTCTAGTCCCATGGGGCAATCTCTTACCTACCACCAACTCACCAAGTCATTGAAAAGATTTCGGTGTGTGAAAAAAAAAACCACCCCGACGAACAACTTCCGGGACCCAGCCTGCAAGAATTGCCAACCGGATCGGATGATTTCGGGACCATTCCGGGTCTGCTTCCCCTCTGGGGGGCGTTTTGCGACTAACGGGGCTGGCTGGGTAGTTTATCAGGGCGAATTGCGGAGAAATTTCTTACCTAACCTGTCCCGGTGTCCCCTCCCTCTTTTTTTTCTCTCTCCAGATGGATGGGCCGGAGCCACGCCCCTCCCCCGAAAGGGTACCTCGGTGAAGGTATCTTTCCCCTTGTGACAACACTGACGACCAACCTTCCCCTGGGGGCCTGGTGGTATCACCTCCTCCGTATCTACGGATACCTAGTTCGCCGAAAAAAATTCCCCTCCCCCTCCCTCCCCTCTCTTAGTCGCTGGCAGGCTGGCAGCTTGGCTTTCTCCCCGGCTGAGGCAATTTTCCCATCGGCATGGCCGGCCGTCCCGAGTCCTCGCTCTGCCGAATCTATCCCGAATCCCGTGGTGGTCTGAGCCGTCCTGACTGGCGACCACGGCTGCTGCTCTCCCAGCCTGATTTCTGGGGGCGCGCCCAGACGGAGTACTCTCGCCCTAGACCCAATTACTGTTCCAGGTAATCATGTAACTATTCTGGAGCCGTGATGTGGCCAGTGGTCCCCTCCGTACCTCGGCAGTTTCCCCCTTCTTGTCGGTAGAATATTTGCCCTTGGCTTACGGAGTAGGGATTGCTTATCGCTTGTTAAGGTTTCTCTTTTAATATAGCTTCGATTTTTGGCCCCCTACTAACTATGCCTCGTGTAGTTTGTCATCTTGAGTCTCTTCGTTATTTGATTTGTAAATGGGGCAATGGGCAATGGGCAATGGCATAGCGGTGAGCACGCAGAGTTTTCACATCTTGACTCAATGGAGGATCGTGAGATGTGTGCCCAACCAGTCCGCCGAATTGCAACTAAAGTCTGGTCCAGCCATTGGGTTATCTGCTCGCATGTTTATGCCGCCATTTTGTGCCTTTTGTGCGATGGTGGATCCCATCAAACCACCCCAATCCCCATATGGAGTACGGAGTACTCACTAGTTACATCACCCCTATCCACTGATCTAAGCGACGCACGTGATCGATAGAGTAAACATCCGGAGTAAGTCATCAGAAGAAGGGGTAACTAGTTAGCCGTTACTCCGGACCCTACCCTACCCCTACCCCTACCTATCAGTAATATACGGAGTATCTACCCCAGGCAACACCCAAATTCCGTCCCGAATCCATCCCTAGTCCTCCGTACACTACTGGGGTTGGGGTGATAAACGCTATTCCGTGCCACTGATAGGCGGAAGATTTCTAGTCCACCAACACCATCCATCCATCCCCCTGGCACTGGCATGGCACTGACACTAAATTTACCCTCGTTGTGAAATCCAGGGTAGTACTCCGTATTCATTTCGGCATATCCGAACACACGTGCCGGCGCTTTTTCTTCTCGTTCGAGCAGAAAGCTTACTTACTGCTCATGCCCCCGTTAGCTGAGCGTGGTATAAGCACTAGGTACGGATCCCACCGTACCTACACCTGGTACCTAGGGATGGTGTGGTGAGGCAGATAACAATACGGGCAACAGGCAACAGGCACCCGCATAGTCCAGGGAGTCGCGATGATGCCATCCCATTGGACGCTGGGATAATTGTCTCGACTGACCTAGACTCCCCATGGCGCTGCACCATACGCATCGAACCGTTCTAGTCGTGCAGCCTTACTCAGGGGTGCAGGCCTGTAGTTGTCCTTTGCGCACGCCTTCGCGACGCTCTGACTATGTTTGTGACGTTGGGGGCGTATAGTAGGTCGCTTAATGTGCTCCTGCCTTGCTGGGCTAGGACCCTGTGGTGGTGGTGGTGGTGGTGGTGGTGGTGAGGGAGGGGTCGAGATAACGGGTCCTGACTTCCAATCAATCTTCCATGTTTCTTTTGCGCTGGACGAAAGGGGGTTGTGGGATGTTGCATGGAGGCGCTTTGTTCTTGCGGATTAGGAAGCAGCCTTGATGGTGCTTAATAATGAGGGCGATTATGGGTGAATGTTGTTCCCCTCAGGCTTGGTATAGTGGGACGGCAGTTGATAGTACCCCTCTATGTATCTACGCAGCGCATGATGGCGGGATATACAGCAGCTATTACCTCGGTTCTGATTGGCTTGATCGAGCCATATAAAAAGTATTGCCAACGAATTATTCTGAGCTATACTCCGTACTGAGTTTCAAGATGCATCGTGAAGAAGTGCCTTCCTAGTGAATAGAACATGTGACTTCGGTGTAAACTTTGGACTGTCTTCTGGTTCAAAAGTTAACCTCGTAGCAGTTATAAGCTTCTTGAACTCGCCGAGTACTTTGACAAGGATCCCACGAGCATTCAGAACCGGCGTGTGACAAGTTGGACACCAGCTCGTGTAGCCGGATCTGTGGTCTAAGTGACAACCCACCATCCATTCTCCCCTCCATCTCGGAGATTAGTCCGAGGTGGTGACTAACACCAGCATCATGGTTCATTCCAGCTGAAGGCCAGAAACGTGGTAATATCGATGACCTGCCAGCTCTCTGACATGACGTTTCTCACTCAGACTACGCCTTTTCTCCCTTTCAAAAGATATCGCTTCCCTCGCGCCCGCAAGTATACTCGGTAATATTGCCCGATGCGGTCGCGATGATGTCGCGCCTGGATATTCTGCCGCGTCTGGCCGCCTCCCGTCGGCCGAAGCAAAAGTTCATTCAGGCCTGCTTTTCGACATTGCAGTCCGTCGTGCGCTGTCAGTCCGTTGGGTCAGCATTTGTCTGTGGCTATTCAGTCCCTGTGAGCTTGATCGTTGGGGGCTGCGACTGCCCCAGGTGCCCTTTTTCCACCACCCTCTCCTTTTCTTCTCTCTCTTCTTGCCATGGCTCCCCCGCGGCAACGGACGACTGCCGTCCAGGATGACTCTCGTTCCGAAGGCTCTAGCACAGCAAGAGAGCATAAGACAACGACGGTAAAGGCTCGCAAGGGTGCGGGCGGATCACTGGCTGTGGCTGCTATCAGCAGTCGCGAGACCAAGGTCTCTGGCAATCTTGCGAACGTCACCAGCGCCCCGGCTGGAGGCGAACAGGACAATTCGCCAAAGGTACGTTGCAATCGGGTACTACCTGCTATTCTCGATCGAATACCCTGTTTTCATATTGGTATCGGTTGTCTGACATCTGACACGCATGGGTGTAGATCCCCTGGTCCGAAATGCCCCTCGAACTCCTCCACTCCTATCGACACGCCTACAAACTGTCTACCCCCAGCGCCTTCTCCAGCGAATACTCCCACCTGCTCCTCGGCAGAGGAATCGGTCTCCGATCCCCGACGGCTATCGCAGCACAACGAGCTCATCAATCCCGCCAGGATCAGATGACGAATGGCTCCCAGTCGAGCACGTCCACATCCCGAAAAGCTTTGCACAACCACTCCGCGCCCAATGGCGTCAGCACGAAACACAAAGACCGCCTTCCACACAAAGGAACCGATACAATCAATGGCAAGAGTGCCTTGCACCGCATAATTGGCCAGGACCGGGTATGCAAGAACCAGCTTGCCGTGACCGTCCGCAAACATTTCAACAGTGCCGGTCTTGCGGAGCAGGAAGCCATTGCTCGATTTCTGTACAAAGTCCGGGAAGAGGGAAGAGGGCGACACTTTCGTCTACGATTCCAGCCTTGATTCCACCACCTGCTCTCTTTTCCTTCTTCTTCTTCTTCCTCTCCTCTCCTCTCATTCCCTCCATCCCAACCCGGAAGAATCCTCCCGGACGTGCGGATACCTCCCTCGGCACCGCCTCGGCTCCTAATTGGCACTTAGCCCTCTACCATTTCGACTCGGGTGTGCATTCACCCGAGAGCCCTACACGACTACACTACACTCTTCTAATCTCGTCCCTCTTCTCGCTCTCCTTCCGGTCACCAGGCATCTCAGTTTTCTGACCTTTTCATGATACCCATTGGTGCGAGCTCCAATAAGTACTTTTTTCATTCCAATTTCCTTTGTTCATTGATCTGTCCGCACGAGCTACGTCACCGTGTTGTGTTTGAACCCTGTGGTTCCAATGCCATCTTCCTATATACGCAACTTGGTTTGTTTAGACTCGCAGATCAATCTCTTACTTTTATTTCTTGTCATGCCATTTCCTCCCTGCTCATATATCTGTATATTATTTGGGACATGGGATATATCACTCTCTGCTATTGTTATTTTTGGTATAGATCAATGGCAGTTCACTTCCATGATGATGAGCATTGCATCTCCACTACTTACTATCTTAGGAAGTAAATCACAGACACGGAGTTAACTATTACCCATAATTTTCATCGCATTTCATTTTCTTTCCCCCCACATTTTCCATCTCACTATATACATTTCAGTCACGTCCACAACCACTTCCACCAAAACCAACATAACACAGCAGCATAATAAGTAAAGAAGTGAACAGAAACAAGAATAACAAAGCAGTGAACTATTTCAGAAAATGAGGAAAGAAGGAAAAGAAAGGAAGTGGAATACTGTGGGAAACGCCAAAATGCTTGACATAATAATAATAATAGAAATCCATTCCATAAGTCTATCATACTTTCATCATGATGTCCCATTCCCGTACGTCTCATCCCATCCCGGCATGGTTATTTCCATGCATTAAGGCCGGCCCATGGGTCGTTGGATGAGGTGGCTGATTGGCTTTGAGATTGTGAAGGTGCCTTGTGGTGCTGGCTTGTGCCGTAGGGTCTGGTTTGCGCGTAGCCACCCGGACCGGACGGGTAGGGGCCCGTGGAAGAGGGGTAGGTCGTTTGCTGGGGGCGGGGCGGCGGCGGAGGTGGAACATAGCCCTGGGGCATGAAGGAGGATGGTGCGGCTGGTGGCGTAGGACCGGTGTAGCTGTATGGGGCCGGGGTGGATGAGTAGAATTGTTGGTTGGGCGGAGGGGAGACGGAAGGAGGGACGGGGTAGGCCATCGGGTTGTAGCCCTCGGAAAGAGGCGCCGCTGCACCTTGCTGGAATGTCTGTCCCGGGACGTACGAGACACCCGTGCCGTGGCCGATATACTGCCCATAGGGGGCGGGGGAATGCGACATAGGGATGCCGTGCGACTGCCCCGAGACATTGGGAGGGAAGCGCGGCGACATCTTCGGCGAAGATATGGCGGGGTTGGGATATGCGGGCGTTTGAATAGCCGGGGGAGGTGACTTGGCCTTGGACGGAGCGGCCGAGGCGGAGGGAGGAGCTGGCGACGTCTTGGGTTCCGTGGACAAGCGCTCCATAAGCTGCCGCAGCTTCTCCCGTTCGCGGTCTTCCTGCTCCGTGGCATTGCTTGCTTTATCCCGCTCGATTTGGCCCAACAGCTGGGCGCCCTCGGATCGTCGGTTGTTGATGAAGGTCTCGACGTTCTTCTTCAGGCTGTCGACGGTCTCGCCCATCTCCTTGTAGAAGGTCTGGGCTTGCACGGTTCCTGACAGGAGACCGTTGAATGCGTCGTATATCTTCTTGTAACGAGACATCACCGTGTTGCGTTGACGGGTGATAGTCTCGTACTTGGATTGTTCGGCACGCACTCGCTTGTCTTGCAGTAGGTCGCCGTATATCTTCGTTAGCTCTTTCATCAACGAAGCCTGCTTATGGTTGGCTTGGAGTAACCGATTCTGATGCGGACGGAATTTCTCCAGCTCCGCTTCAAAAAGCTGGTTTTCCTGCCCGGCGATGGTTTTCTTGTTAAGGATCAGGACATTGGAGATGTCATCGGTGTGGACCTGGTGATAAGATATTAGACTCCGGTCATCAGTTCAGACATACCATGCACATACCTTCTCCTTGAGATCTTTCAAGACCTGAGCCCGTTCTCTCTTGACCAAGTTCAACTTCTTCAGAATGGATTCGACTCGAGCAATTTGCTCGGCCACCGAGGTGCCACCCTCGTCGAAGACATCATCGATCAAATTTCCTTCCGCCGAAGCCGAGTAAGGGCTAGATAGTCCATTCTTACCTTTGCCATGCTTGGAGCCGGCTTTGATCATGGCACGCTGGAAGAGAACTTCGGCCTCGTCTGTCTCCCCCGCAGATCGCATTTCATCAAAGTCGGCCTCGTACTGTCGCAGAGTAGACAGAAGCTGGGAGTCGCTGGCACTCGCTTCATTGATGGTATCCCGATACGTTCGGATATCGCCACGCAATGTAGTGTTTAGCCTGGCGCTGGGTTGCTGGCTCCAGTCCACTCCATATTTGGAGCGCATCTTCTCACATACGCTCTCCTCTAGATCCAATTGCTTAGAGCATTGGTCTAGTTGCGCTAGAATCTCGGCTTTGCGATCCTGTAGGCCATCAAAGGCCTTGATGAAAGGCTGATGTCCTCCAAGCTCCTGGCACCATCGTCGAAATTCGTCATCAACGGTCATCTCCTGGTCCATTCCGCCTTTGAGAATATTCAGGCTACCCGGAAGTTTCAGGTAGTCAAGACTCGCCGCCATTTCTCCGTTTGCCGTTTCGACCTTTTCTGTTTCCGCTCGGATCAGCTTGGCCTTCTCTTCGTCGTAGAGACTGGCCGTTTCTGTGACCGACATGGGCACGAGCTTCTGGAAGATATCTGGGCCGATGATACGTTGAATATCCTGACCTTGGTAGAGCTCGCTGACAGGGATAGCTTTTGCTGCGGGCAGCTTCGAGACGGCTGACAAACCAGCCTCGCTCGGAATGGGCTGGTGGTAGATAAAATCGTTGTCTTTCTTGAATACGGTGAGCTTGGCCTGGACGTTCGCAAGGTGGTACTTGATGATATCGAGGAGATTGGTGCCCGATTCGGAGCTTAGGTTGGCATTGGGAGAGACAGACGATGGGAAGGACTTGGCCCACCCGAGTGCTGCTGTCGAGTGTTTCTCTGCCAGCTGCAGCCGGGCAATAGCCACGCCGTGCGATCCAGTTTCACTGTCTGCTAGGGCCTGGTAGTAGGACGCCACGGAGGCCATGTGCCCCGCCTTGGCCTGCACAACGATCGTCCACACTTTATCAAAGACGCCCTTGGCGAACTCTTGCATTCCTTCGGCAGCCTGGGAGTATAGATAAGCGGATTGACTGGCGAGTTTCGCTAGCAACCCAGCCTTCTTACTATCCGCGATTTGTTTCTCCAGGAATACTTCTTGGCCTTGTGCAAGAGTGATGTTGATCAGGGCCTTGACGGTTTCCCGATTCAAGTCGGTCGATGGCGCGTGAAGGAAGTTCTCGTTGATATATGTGAACATGCCAGCAGATGCCTGGAAAGAGTGATACGCGGTTTTAAGACCGGAATCTTCGGCGCGATTCTGGTTGGCCGCATGGCACGACAGCACAGCGGAGATATTGAAGATGATCGATGCTTTCTCGAACGCCAAAGAGTACTGTGAGGTGGGCTTCTGGGTAAAGGCGTCATACCTATGTGACATTGGGTCGTTAGCGGACCAGAATGGTAGCAGGAACCGGAGCATGCAAGGGTGTCTCACCAAGTGAAGGAGATCTTGATATGATTTTCATCCACGGGAAACCTCAGATCCAAGAGCTCCAGCTGTCCGTAGTACCGATACAACAGGTCGCGCCCCGTCGCACTATCCTTCCCGGCGCCCCTCATGTCCTGGCGCAAGCGGTTGAGGGTGGCGCATTCTGAGCTGTACCGTTCGGGGTCTTCGCCGTAACTCTGACGAATGTAGTCCTTGAGGGGCCGGATCCAGTCGATCTCGTTAGTCTGCTTGAGCGGACATGAGATCATGGGCGATTGAACCATCTTGTTGCGCGGGAGGAGCGGGGAGCTCCCATCCAAAGGCGGAGAGACAGCGGGCCCGATGTTCGAGTAGGGAAGCAAGAGTAGGCAAGGAAGGTCGATGTCGCAGAGGGGAGGGGAGGGTTTTCGGGATGGGACTGTGGGGTAATGAAGGTCGATAGGCGATGCTTAGTCGTCGCTCCTGCGAGAATTGCAGTGGCAGTTGGTAGGGGTCGATAGATAGATTAGTCGCAGCTCACTAACGAGTCTAGTCGTCCCCAAGGCAGCCTAACCGTAGTTCCGTCGTTAGCTCGACGATGATGACGGAAGTGGGGAGGCAGCAGCAGAGGGGGCAGGCAACGCGAGTGGTGTGGTCGCTGGGAGCGGCACAGCCTACCTGAAGGACGTTTAAGGAGGGATTGATCAGCGGACTGCCAGGCGAGTGGCAGGATTGGGCCGAAAGGAGTGGTGGTTGACTGATGGGGGCGGAATTGTGATGAGGAAGATGGGGAGGAGGCGTTGTGATGGGCGGATGGTAACCGCCGGCCGTGACGAAGAAAGGCAGCAAGTGGGCATGCCTGACGGGAAAGCTTCGAAGCACACTGCACAGTCACAAACTCAAATCGGGCACGATACGTAAGAACTAATGAGAAGTAGAGATGTCCTGAGCGCTAACTCTAATCGTACACTACATACATACACACATCACTTTCTATAAACAAACAACGTCAAGAAATGAAGGGATACAGGCGAATGGAATCATCCCAACATGCAGAATGGCACAAGAACCCCCAATCTCGCCGGCGCTATGATATTTCCCGCAATAATTACACAGTAAGAAACGAAGCTGCCCCGAAGTAGTATCCAAGAATTCCGAATATACACGTCGTGACCCCCGTTCAGTTGGAGCCAGACTTCTTCTCTCCGTCAGTTTTTTTGGCGTCCCCAGCGTCCTTCTTGCTCGAGTCGCTGGTAGAATCCTCGGGTCCCGAGTTTTTCGTGTGGTTCATGAGCTTGTGCCAGGCCGATTTGAGGAATCCCTCGTTCTTGGAGGGGTCGGAGTTCGCGCTGGAGTCGGCCGGTGAG